TGTGTGTGTGTGTGTGTGTGTCTGTGTGTGTGTGTCTGTCTGTCTGTCTGTCTGTCTGTCTGTCTGTCTTGTTCTCGGTCTCTCTTTTACTTGTTTGCAAAATTTCATTTATTAATCCCCAAATATTTCTAATTCTTAAAGTCTCAAACGACGTTTTTCTTAGAACCTAATAATTTTTTTTTTTTTCAATACATAAATTCAGTTCACACAGACAAGACAATATACTTTATGAATTAAATTTCATTCTAATATTTTTGTGGGACTTGTCTAAAATGACAAAGTTGTGTAACTTTTAGGAGATAAAAAAAAGAGGGGGGTGGGTCTTAATAAAAGCTTACATTTGACAAAAAAGGCAAAGGTTAACTAAGGTCAAATCAAGTAACCCTATGAAAACTTATTGATATTACATTTTGTTGGTTATGATTCTTTTTTTTAATTCATGTTGAACCCTCAAGTATGTTCAGGTTTGTAAGGAAAATATTTTATTATTACTTTTAACTCGTGGGTTACACCACATGACATTTTTTTTGAATTTTTAGATAACGATTTTTATTGAAAATGCAATTATGTAATAACATTTTACAAAAATATATGAAACGAACATGAATACAAATATTCAGTTCCTAAAATGACACTTTTTTTGGTTCTCAACTTTAAAAAAAAAAATCCCTTTTTTGATTGATTTTTACTTTTTTGTATCACCTCAGACGTTCTTATCTGTCATTCGCCCATAGAATTCCTATAAATCATTCAGTTCTGCAGGGATGCATGTTCTGTGGTGTGTTTTTCCTTTACACATTTGTATCTCAAAGACGCTTCACCTTGTGCAGGTTTGTACATTAACCTGAAACAGATAGGAGACCTGCAGGGGTTTGGAGGAGGTGGAGTGAGACAGAGGGACTCCTGCTATAAAGCTCTCAGCTAGTGTGTTGTTGATAATGGGTGACTTCAGGGAGAGTGAGAGAGAAAGAAAGGTGATTGTAGGCATTGTTGATTTAGGGTGTGTCGCTGTACCCGTCAGGCTGCCATGCTGGGGCTTGTTTCTGTAGAGATTCCAAATCAGTTGCGCAAGTGTGTGCAGAAGCAGGAGGTGTGTGTGTTCTCCACTAACCAACTGTAGGAAATAAAGTTACTGACTGATTTATTAGAGCGTCCCTTTAATTTTATTTATGGCTGATTTGCTTTTGCATGATATGAATCCATCACTCACACTGTTTTGATGTGTATCAGATGCACATATCTGAACAGCCACGTGGTGAGGTCATAGCCAGTTGTCATGATGATGAGTTGTTTATGAAATGTGTGAGGATGACTGCCAGTGCTCCTCTGAGAGTAAAACCTAAACGTCACTGTGACAAGTATATTTAGGTTTGTTTGGCAGGCCCATGAAAGACTCCTTAATATCAAAATTGGAGTCTTGTGAGTTTTAGTCTATGTTTGTTGGCTTTTGGGCCATTAGTATGCTAGTGTACTCTTAAAAGTGGACAAAACTGACTTTTAGCAGATAAATGCATTAAAAATATGCTTTTTCTCTTCTGGAAAAACAGACTCATCCTGTACTACACAGATTTTTGACCAGTCAAATATTCTCTAAAATCACAACGTCCCTCCCCACCTCACCTGCAGTCGACTAGAAAGTAGCAAATTGTGGCTTTTGATTTTAACTAAAATTTGGCATGAAATGAAAATTCACTTCTATTTTCATTATATCTATAATTTAAATGAATGTTATAAATCGTATTGTGAACAATTCATCCATGCATATACACCACTTTTTTTAAAAACTTTTTTTTTTTTTACCTTGCAATTTTTAATCAAAATGGCATAATTTGACCTTCTGTTAAAAACGACAGCATGCTCTGGTGACATATACAGGACTTTTCCAATCATTTAGTCTGCCTAAACCCTGCTCACATCTCAACAGCCAATCAATAACCAGTACATAGATCCAAATCCCTGCCCTACATTTTTTTCTGTTACTCTTGTATGTCACAATATGGAAAACAATATTTGAAAATATGTTTGTTTCATCATTACTTTAACTAAAGGCTATTGGCTAATGATTATTATTTTTTTAAAAGAGACACGTGCTTCGATATGTCTCCTTCATGTCTTGTTTTAATAGGAAATGCGCCACCACAGGACAAAAACTGTTTTAAGTAAACCCAACTTGATATTGCTAATGCCATACTGTACCAGTTGAGTTCTTAAAGGTATTTCACTGAAATAAGTATCCTTAGAATTCACACCTGTTTAATTAAAGTCAGTGCTTCAATCAGAAACCCTGTCTGTCTGGTTTTGAAGGCTTGTGGTTGAATTCAGCTAAACAGATGAAATCACTTACTGCACCTTTAATTCAAAATGGAGAGAGAGAGCAATCTCTTTGAGACAGTGTTGATCATTTTCCCACGCTAGCAAATGTTGCTTTATTCATGGAAAATTAAAACTGGTTTTTGGCAGCTGATGTGAGGTAAAGTGGCTGACAATTGTCTGGTTTTGCTCCGGGCATCATGGGTTGTAAAGTAACCCTCAGTAAACCTTCAGCTGGCACAACAGAGTGTGAACCAATGTGCTGCCACCTTGCAGATGATTGATCACTGTGATAGCTTCATCTCCAGCTGGGAGATATTATCACATTGATGTGTGTGTTTATGGAAGATTATATTAGTACAGAGCTTGAGTAGTTTCAATCTAAAACTCTTGATGAAACAGGCTGCTCTGACACTTAATCATTATATAATCAGCCCTGATTCCTGCAGGACTAATTGAGCGTGAGACACTCCTAATTAGTGTGTGTGAATAGTTTAGTAAAACAGAATGAAAGATTGTAAGAAGATAATACAGTGTGGCTTTATGAAGATGATACAGTGAGACATTTCTGATTTGTTAGATAATACATTGAGACAATTCTTGGTTTTATGGACATGATACAGTGAGACATTTCTTGGTTTTATGAAGATGATACAGTGAGATGGTTCTTGATTTTATGAAGATGATACAGTGAGACATTTCTGATTTGTTTGAATATAATACGGTAAAACAGTTCTGAATTGTTAGAAGACGATACAGTGAGACGGTTCTTAGTTTTATGAAGATGATACACTGAGACCGTTCTTGGTTTGGTGAAGATGATACAGTGAGACAGTTCTTGATTTTAAGATAATACAGTTGGCTAATACTAAAACTCTTGATGAAACAGGCTGATTTAACATTTGATCATTATATAAGAAGCCCTGATACCTGCAGGATTAATTAGGCGTGGGACACTCCTTTTAGTGTGTGTGGACTGTTTAGTAGAACATAGTGAATAATCCAAAAATTGTTTTGGATTATGTCAGCAGTTCTAGATTGTTTGAAGATGATGCACTGAGACAGTTGTTGGTTTTATTATGATAATACAACGAGATTGTTCTGGATAGTGAAACGGTTCTGGATTTTATGAAGATGATACAGTAAGACAGTTGTGGATTTTATTAAGATGATACAGAGAGACAGTTACAGGTTGTTTGAAGATGATACAGTTAGATGGTTCCAGACAGTTTGTGTTGAGACTCAAACAGCTAGCTCCATTAAAACTCAAATGTTAGCAGTCTAATAGAAGAAGCATTGAGGAAAAACAGGATGAGAGGAAGAAGACAATGATGGAAGGAGAGGTGAAGCTGGAGGAGGAAACCTCGGGAATTATACAATTATCACAGTCGTTTAGGAATGTTACTCCTGCTCTCAACAAGCTGCTGCAAACCCCAGGACACACACACATACTCTAAACCAGTGTTTCCCAACCTTTTTTTAGTCGCGGCACCCTTTCGAAATTTTAACAAACTTGTGGCACCCTACAAAATTAATTTTGTCACAATATTTGAATTTCTAACTTCGATATGATACTTTGAAAAGTATCGAAATTCGGTACAGCAGGGAAGAACTGCAGAATGTGTCATATATATATATATATATATATATCATAGCGTTTAGCAGATCAATGAATGAGAGGGCAGCGTCATAAGAAATACACTTCCATCTGCTGAATTTATTTCATGTCGCACGGATATCTGATATAAAAACATACCTCAGGTGGTCTTCTCAGATTCACGTGTTTTATGTCAGTCTGTGTTATTGTGTAAATGTACTGTAATGGTAGCTGTGAGGAAAGACAGACACTCCCATCAGGATATAATGTGCAGTTAGCATGACAGCTATCAGCACTTTCCTTCACTGTTCCCCAGAAGCACTGCAATGACCCTCAGCACTTCCCCTCAGCACTTAGGGAGGAATTCAGTTCCTTAACACTGAATTCCTTAGGTTTGGGGCTTTGAAAGAAAGGCGTTTCCTAAATGCTCTTACAACAGTCTGCGTTTGAGAGACAGAAGTGCTCCTGTCTCACGCAGTTGTGACGCTGCACATAGTTGTGCATGTAATGCCTTATGTGTAACCAACTCAAGATGTATTGCTCATGAGTCTCATTTCTTTGACTGGAAAACCCCTGTGCATGATATGTGTGTGTGTGTGTGTAAGAATACCAGTCTGTACCATCCACCTGGTGAGCACCGAATCAAACTGCAGATAAGGCAAGCATGGTTCAGTTCTGCATGTGTGTGTGATCATGTGACCACAGCTTTCCTGGTTAATACACCTCAGGCATTTTATCTTCCAGATTTACCTCCATTTCCTGTAACCCACATGAACACACACCCTCTCCTGCTTAGCACACCTGCACACACTACAGCAGAGAGGATAAGCCAGGTGTCTATCTCTTGCACACACCTCACACTTAGTTAGGGAGTGTAGTTATGCATCTATCATGCTAGTCCTGCCAAATAAAGTATGTACCCTACCATTCAAAAGTTTGGGGTCAGTAAGGCTTATTTTTTAAAGAAATTAATACTTTTATTCAGGATGCCAAAATTGACAGTAAAGATGTTACATTAAAAAAATGCTTCAAAAGCATAAAACGTTCTATTAATCAAAGAATGCTGAATAAAAATTCCACCAAAATATTAAGCAGCACAACCATTTTCAACACTGATGATAAGAAATTTGAGCACCAAATCAGCATATTAGAATGATTTCTGAAGTATCATGAACGACACTGAAGACTGGAGTAATGATGCTAAAAATTTTACTTTGCAACAGGAATAAATTACATTTTAAAATTTATTCAAATAGAAAATGGTTCTTTTAAATTGTAATATTTTTCACGATATTGCTATTTTTAACTGTATTTTTGGTCAATGCTTTGGTGAACATAAAAGACTCTTCTTTAAATTTTACATATGCAAAAATTTGCATTTACAATATGCAAAAAAAACAGAGACCGTAGGTATTATTTCAAACATTAGTATGATGTATTGTTGTCACATGACTCCTTCTGCATGTTTAATTACGTGTTGTTTAGTTATGTAGTGTAAATAAACACATTATTTTTAACCCTATTTTATGTTAAAAAAAAAAAAATTTGCAAAAAAATGTTTAGTTACATTTTATATTACTACTGTTTTGTCATCCCACTCAAAATGAAAGTCAAACCGTCCCATTGCATTGCATCTTACATTTTGGCAAATGTAATAGGCCATCTGTGCACAGTGTGCATACTGAATACTGCAGCAATAGTAAGTATGATCAGGTAGTATGATAACATAGCACTGCTAAAATATTAGTGCAATTCTGTATCCCATAATGCAGTGCACTCAACGTTCCATTTTCAGTGCAGTAAACAAACAGAAAGCAGTTACAGTATCCTTTTAATTCCTTGTTTTGACATATTTGTTTGGACTGGCAAGAGATGTTCTGATGTTTTTACACAAAACTGGATTAAAATTGCAAAACAGCCATCTCACATAATGATGATGATAACATGCACCTAATGAGGTCATGTGATCTAGATAATAACATACAAGCATAACACTGCTTGAAATGTTTATTATGCGTTAATGTGTACCGTTTCATATAATTGTTTTTTAATGGTAGGCAGCACACTTAAAGCAGAAGTCAGTTTTTGGGGAATACCACATTTTTTTTTGTTTTTGAGTACAACATTTGAATCCACCCTAAAACTGTTGAATCACATGACACACAGACACGCCTGTTGGAATAGCAGTGCATTTTTCTCAGGGCTGTGAGAGTTTCAGTATGGGAGTGTGTACAGTAATTGTCTGCAAGTGTGCTTGTGTGTGTGAGGATTAAACCACAGGCAGAACATCCAAACAGAACAGACGTGTGATGTCATGCAAATGAGTTCCTAACATGTATATTATAATAACTAATATTATGTAACTAAATGCAAATGAATCATCTGCAGCTCGCAGAGAACATGTGAGTCAGTGTTTGTAACTGTGGATCAAACTGATGTGATGACAATGAAGAGTGGATAAAGTCTGTGGCAACGCTGCATGCCTGTTCTGCTCTGTTTGTTTCTGCACATTTCCATGGTGGCGGAGTGAGTCAGAATGCTGCACTCTGATTGGTCTGTTGACCTGCTAAACAGCCACGTGAGGATGTCTTGTTCTCAGTCTCACTCACACACGTGAAATCCACTCCAGCTTCCTCATTTTTAACGTCGTGTTAGTGTGTCAATGTACATTTCCTGCTTTTCCTTTTCTCTAACATCCCGCACTCTAGCTGTCCAGCTTCGAAGGAGCTCTGTTTATTTTAAACAGCATCATTTTCAAGTTGCTGTTTACTTTATATGCCATGTGCATTCGTGTGAAATTCTGCTCTTTGTGAATGTTTGTGCGTCTCTATTAATTGAGTAAAATGACCTCCTTTGGTAAATACATCTGCTGGGCGTGTTTATTCAAGATATAATGCCTTGTGTTTGAATGTTTTACACATCATGAATGTGTTTGTGTGTGCTGTGTGAGGGTGTGTATCAGTATCTGTGTGTTTAAGGGTGGAGCCCATGACTAGGTGTTCAGGAATGAGACACAATTGCAATTTTGGTGTGCGACGTACAGTATTAGGATCAGACCCTGATTAATGCGGACCACCGATGTCAGTAACAATTCCACTTCTGTTCTGTTGTTAGACCGGTTTAGAACAAGAATCATTTTTCTTTTCAAGCAGGATGCCATGGAAGTTGTTTTTCTGAGGGGACACAGGTAGCAATACAGGTTCATTTGGTTTCTTAATAATGTAAGATATGTTCAAAAGGGAAAAATAAACAGTTTTTAGAGACTTATGGTATGTCATGTAAATGAATGGCCCTGGATTTAAATCCAAACTAAAAGCTCGTTCACACTTAGAATAATAACTAGACAGGTAACTATAGTGCACTGCAGTTTTGTTGTCTGTCACTTTAAATGTGCACTCTTTAAAGTTGGGTGGATTCTGATTGGCCGTCAATGTTTTTATCATTCATCAACTAAAAAAAATGTCCTGAAAGTGATTCCAAAGATATTGTTCCTCTCGATATTGTTATAGTTGTGGTGTGGACATTGCTAAGATCATAGAACTAGAATGACTATTAAAGATATATAGTTATAGTCATCATTGTAGTTATAATTATGTATTTTGAAAAGTGTTAATAAACAAAGGAAAAATTGTAATAAACATTTACTGGGGCGGTAATTTTTGCTTTGTGGAAAAGAGTACATTTGATAGGTCTTTTCAGCAAAATATGATCGGTTGCACATGATGATGATGATCAAATGATCTAGAAGCTGCAACTTGACTGGACTGATGCTACTTAAAGTTGGCATTAAATGAAAAAATTTATCTATTTTGTAAATGCATGATATGTTACATTTTAATGTTTCATTTTTTATATTTTATCCTTGCAATTTTTTATCAAATTGTCAAATCGTCTCAATCTTCTAGTGACAACGATAGATTTTCTCCAGTGATATTTGCCAGATTTATCCAGTCATTTAGTCTGCTTAAACCCCGCCCCTCCCCAAACAATTGCAAGATTGCATTAAATTTTGAGTGCAACACCCACATCTCAGAATCCAATCATCAACTGATGGATTGAACTGATTGGAAGTCCTCATCATACATTTTTTTTTCTTTGTCAGTAATTTCACTCCTGAATACATCACGATTTGGAAGAAAATATCAGTTGGTATGTCAGTTTCATCTGAACTTTAATTTACAAAGACAAATATTTATTTTTAGAAGTTGGCTTACAAAAATCTGAAGGGACATGTCTTTGCATTATAGCAATGGAATATTAGTTCTGTAATACATGAGGCACATTGTGCATTACTGAGGTCTAAGGTTGAATTTCCAGCATTGCCAGACTGGAAGAAATGTTAATTGTTTAATGGTGGATTAGACAATTCTTTTTTTCCTTTCTGTAACTTCTGCTTTTCCCATAGAGATACAGCACTTGAGCGTTTCATGATTCTGAACGAAGAAATAATTTTTTTTATGGCACCTATAAAAAAATGTGTGAAGAAACCTACAGATGATTGTTGCGTGAATGCTAGTGAGCAATTCCTTTTTAGCAATTCCTTGGTGTAGTGACCAGGTAATTTACAAACCTGACAAAAAGAGGCTTTACAATACAGTGACTCATGTGAATTATTTCTGTTTTTGTGGCAGGCTGTGCAATGTCATCTGGCCGTGAGTCTGTAGGGGATCTGATTCCCCCAGATATGCTGCAGGTGTTCAGTGAGGACCGGCAGGGCGGCAGGGGCAAAAGGGGCAGGAGAAGGGCAGCATCCTTCAGGCGTGCCTTCAAGTGGTTGAAGAGGCAGCGCAGGAAAACCCGCCGACGCGCTACAGAGATACATGGAGACCTGCTTGCCACTGGTTCACCTGTAGAACTACCAAAATCATCATTTGTCACAGGTAGTACTTTTGCTATCATGTACTCTTTAGATGCCCATTGTTCTTCAGAAGATTTTTTTAACTGATGGGCCTATTTTTCTTTTCTTTCTCACTTGGAAGATTTGTTTTCATATTTGCCACTAGTTTTACATCAATTATAACATAAACAGGTTGTGTAAGCAGATGAGTCTTAGGGAAATTAAAGAAAGAAAGGGGAAGTGCAGCTTGGCTAATGAAAGGTATGTTGTGGCCAGTGTGTTTTGGAAATTAATGTAGGAAGCCAGCAACAACATCAGCATGAATTAACCCATTTTTAAATATGTGTTTACATTTATGCGTTTGACAGACGCTTTTATCCAAAGTGACTTGTATTGCATTCAATGTATACATTTTATCAGCTCATACATTCCCTGGGAATCAAGCCCGTGACCTTGGCATAGCTAGCGACTTGCTCTACTGTTTGAGTTACAGGAAGTTTAAGATTATTTCCCACTTTCCCTCCAACATCAGTACATATTGAAAAGTACCAGACCAACACTGTTAAACTAGCAACTGCTTGCTTTTTTCACTTTGCATATTAAATTGGGATAAAATGTATTTTAACATTGCATATTAAAGCTGAAGTGTTACTATTTCAAAGATAAACATTGTTTTAATCAAGATGACTGTAACTTTAACTTCCAAATCATTTGGCCGGAGCATGCTCATTGAAGCATTTGATGATTAATGGTGTCACTAGCTTTAATCGCTCATTTGTGGTTATAACAAGCTGTTTTGCTACATGAAAATACTTCTGTCAGTTTGAATATACTGACATTTGCAAATAAGAATATTGCAGTATGTAAGTTATGCCTTGGTGGAAAATATCTCTCAACCATTTTATTACATTTGATCCAGCAATATGCCAACTAATCTAACCTAACTACTGTACTAACAGTGAGGTATTGATTTAGGTTTGTATTTAAGCAGTGCTTAAAATGTATGTGATATTACACGCTTTATCCGTCCTTGTATTGCCCAACTAGTAAATGTTGGCTATGTGTTTTGGAAGTGATTTCAGTAGTGGGTAATGTGTGCAGACATTCAGTCATTTAATTTCAGACAGTGTAATTAGTAGAGTAATCCCTTTACAATCTAGAAGTCATTAGTTTGGGTAACTAGTTTTCAGCATTCTCTAGCATATAAGTTTTAACTCAGCAATGAGCAGCTTTAAAAATAATACAAAATATCTTTCAAAAAGTATGAGTCTCTCATTTTTCCAACTATGAGTTTTGATCATCTCACTCCTTTTCTGTGGCTTATTTCTTTTGTGTTGGACCAGAGAATGGAAGGCTTACACATCAAATGACCCTTAACCTTCTTGAGATATGTCTCTCAAATACCTATATATTATTGTGTGTGCTGAGAGAGGTCTAGAAAATGTTTGCTTTGTTTATCGCAAAGTCATGAGTTTTCCGGAGCTGGAATTTCAACACGCCATGAAGATAAAATTTGGTCTCTACTTGAGGTCACTTTAAGTTCTCGCATTGTGTGTACAAGTCTTAAGTGTTTATTTAAAAGTGCGCAGTACATTTGTGGGGGAGCTTGGGATCAAAACCAGGATTGAATGCATGTGAATTATGCCTTGTTTATGTTTTTTTTGTGTGGATGAATTGTAAAGGTTCCACATGGGCTGTAATAGCAGGGAGACCATTGTGAGACCACACCTCAACCCCACCCATTTACTGAAGCATGAATCCACTCAAACACACACACACGCCGGGCTGACACAACACACTGCAGCTTTCTTAATGATCGATATGGTGCATAACCACAAAAAATAAACAGCTTTTATGTGATTGTTCTGAGGGTGCAGTACCTACCTACTGCCGAAGACTGTACAAAAAGCCAACAGGATGGATTATTTAAACCCATCACACTCGCCCTGAAATTAGGCTGAAATTAAATAGGCAGCATGCAGACCATCATGATGCAATTAGTATTACGCATTGGAGAATGTGACTCATAGTTGATTTCAGGAAGGTTTAATGTAGCATATTGCTAATCTAATGGCATGATACTCTAAAACTGATTATTTTTGTAAATACTTTTCTTTTCTGAGCTTGTTGCTGCAGATTATGGGATTGTCTTCTCAGTAAAGGACATGATTTGCATTAATATAGCAACTATGATGCTTTAAAATGCTGTTTATGTAGTGTTTTATCATCTGTTGTTTTGAGTGTGTGATGTGATCGATCTGGGTTCTTGTGAATGACACTCTGTGTTGATTTTAAAAACACAAAATCTTACAGTGTGTTTTGAAACTTGATAAGGTTATCTATCTAGTGCTGCTCTCTTTCGATATGGAGTTGACGTTCAGTCTCAGTAAGTGAATTGATTAGATTAGTTTGTCTGGGTAAATTGCTGATCTCAATTTGGTGTCTTGTGACCAGTTTGATTTTTACATTATTATTTGTTTCTGCTTTTGACACAATAACTAATTGATTATTAGATTACAATAATAAAAACATGCATTATAAATATTTTTATAATTACTAGTTTTGGGGTCTATACTTTTTTTGTCTTTAGAAAAAAGTTTGCATTTATTTGATCAAAAATAAGTACCAACAGTAATATTGCGAAATATTATTACAATTTTAAATAACTTTTTTCTATTTGATTATATTTTAATATGTAATTTAAACCTGTGATGGCAAAACAATTTTCAGCAGCCATTATTCAAATCTTTAGTGTCATATGATCTTTCAGAAATCGTTCTAATATGCTGTTAACAACTGAATATTTTCTGAAGAACGAAACCACACATCATATTTTAGTGGGTTTTTGGATGTTTTATGCTATGAATAATTTCGTACCCGTGAGGCCCATTTTCATGATCTCATCTAGAGCCCCAAAAACCAGCACAAGTTACAGAAATATTTAATTTAATATTTAGGGCTAGGGGCTTGTTCATACCCTAAATATGAGCAGTATGAATAGTAATGCTTACTTGAGCAAGCACTGCTAATAAGAGGGTCACAGCTACTGAGAACACACACATAATATTGTGTTTTGCATCCTGTATCCCAGACCTTGCAACGTCAAAACTTCCTGTGGGATGTTGCCGGTTCAGTCTGAACAAAGAGCTCTTACCTTAAACCCGTTTCCCATGAAATGTTCCACTGACACACACACACACACACACACACACTGCTTTTTCCAATGTTTTTGACGTCTTCTGTTGGAAGTTACAGGTTTGCCAAGGGTTACCCACAATCCTGATCTTTCTTCTGACTTTCCTTTTAACTCATCATGAGAAATGCCAATCATTCCTTAACACCTTTTTAAACACAGTCCCTGTGAACGTTTGAGAGATGAAGACAGATGGAGTTTATGTTCGCGTTTGTTTATTGTTACGTGTGGGTGTGTTTGTGCAGAATTCCATACCTTCCTGAGCTTTGCCCTGGAGATTCTGACACAATGAACAGGTGTAAAGTTGGGAAACTGGTTCTCTGCTCGGCTCTTTCTCTGTTTCCAGTTCTTGTGAACAGAACCCAGCTCTATGCCAGAACTAGACTGATTCAGACTGACTTAATATGGCTCTTTCTTCCAAAATGTGAATTCTTTATTACGTCCAACATCCATATTTAGCTTAGTATGTGTGTGTAGCCCCTTCAAGCGTTAGGTTGTAAAGTGTTGATTTCAATCTGTTTCAGCTTGCCTGTTATATGGCATTTTTCTTTGGAATTGCACCTGGTCTGAATTTAAACTGGTCTAAAAAATAATTTTAATAATAATTGCATCATAGACTATATATAGCAGTTATATCCTCAGTTTTGTGTGCTTGCACTGCATTAGCACTTGTTAGAACCTGATTTAAAGCAAAAGTGAAAAAGATTTCAATATGATATTTTGCATCGAGCAAGTGACACATGGCATTTATGACCATTGGGAATTAAACTCTAATTTGCACTGAGCAATCAAAACCAGGTGTGAAAACATCCTAAATCAATGTTTCTTTAAAAAGTTACATAAAATGAAAGTATCGACTACATGGACACACAGAGCTCACACTTTAATGCATGTCTGCGGCTTTGTTTTTCAGTGATACCTGCTGAAGGAGGGAGTTTTATCAGATAAGACATTCTGTTAGTAAGAAATATATTACTGATAATTTTTTGCAGCAATTGTACCTCTTCTGTGCGTGTTTAACTGACAAAATGGCAAATATTACGTTACTGTTATGTGATATAGGTGTGGCAGACAGAAGCCTTTCTTACCACTTTCTGAAAATCATCCAAAATCGAAGCGCAGGTTGTGTGCATGTATAAAAAAAACCTGTAATCAGTCAACTTACTGTTCAAAGACGTTTGTATCGACTTCAGATGAGGGATGTTTGCCTCAGTTAACCTTTACCTGCATTGTGAATGGATAATGCCTCAGGGACAAACGGACAGTTTTCCCAGGGAGATTAAGTTTAAGGCCTGTTTTATACATCTCACATATGCAGCAGCATGTTTCCCTCGTATTAACAGGTTATAGCATTCATGCTGCATGTTTAAGCAGAAGCAGCTGTACATGTAGTTTCATCACCCAGCCAATTTGTGCTGGGCGTCACACTGAACGCAGCAGAAAATGCACTTAGCATATTTATCAAGACAGTCTTTTGCAATACACTGTAGACTTTTATGAAGCAACTATTTGCCACTATTGAAGCAGTTTATAGACTGAAAAGTAATGTTTGAGTTCTGTGTAAGCCTTTGAACAATTTTATGTAAATGAATGTTTTTTTTTATTTTTTTTATTTCATGTCGCCAACATGAAAAACATTTTTTATTTTTTATTTACAGCATTTATCAAAGAGAATACTCATTAGGTAAATCAGAAATTACTTTATTTTCTGTATTAAATTAGTAAAAGTATGAAATAATTATTTAAGCATTTCTTACTGTTAAAGCCAATGAACTAGATATTAACTCCAATATAGATACCTGTTTTTAAGATAAAATTGCTGAAGATAAGATTCCTGCAAACATAATTTTTATGCTAAATCAAAAATCAAAATGCAAAAATATAAAATCCAATATAAATATGTTCATATTAAAAACAAGTAGCTGAAATTTTCCGCATACTGACCAAAGCATGTTTTTAAGACACTTTGCACTTTTGTCACTTTTGCATAAGGAAAATAAAAATATATATTTTTGATAGACCTTTTTTTGGTCTGATTGGATTTTTCCAGTGTGCGGACAATTTCAGCTACCTATTGGACTAAAACTTCCTCCTTTTTGTTTTACACACCTGAGAATTCATTGTTCTTTCTTTTTGAGCGCGCACAATTCCTGTTTGATGAATATTAAAAACAAAAAATGTTTTATTAATTTATCAATTGCAACTTATTTTTGTGCTAAATATTAAAATCATTAGTATATAAATGTTTTTAAATAATATATCAAAAAAATATAAATTAAAATATATAAATAAATTATAATTTATAATTTATCAATAAATTATATAATTAATAAATAAATTACTAAATTTTCTTGCTAAATCATAAATCATATATTTAACACTTCCATATTAATATTTTATATTTATGACATGAAAGCTCAAAATGTACTTAAAAGCTCAATGTATACCTCATTGTGAGATATGAGAAAAAGACTGGAATACATCTGCTGACTTTATACAATAAAAACTGAGAGTAGTCTTTTTTGTATGACATGAAAACAGCCCCAAAGTGCTGCCCCCTACTGCCCAGATGCAACACAGCAGCTACTGTCAGGGCAGGGCAGTCCTGGCAGCACACACATTGCCTGTGGGATCTAGCTGCCAGTGATGAGAACTACACTGTGTGTTTACATTGCTAATCTCTATCATTCACTTTATCACATTGTGTTCCTCTTTCATTCTCTCGCTTCTCAGTCTCTTCACCTTTGGTTTGACTTTACTGATTAAATGTTTAATAACCTTTATTAAATCTACTCTGAAAGACAGCAGCGTTAGGTGCCAATAAAGTCTCTCATTGCGACAAACTTAATTATTACTTACAATTTTTAACAGAACCGAGATAAGCTGATGTTTTCCTGTTGTTTTGTTTTTGAATGGGTTTGCTTCAGATTAGGTTTAGTTTGATTGTAAAGTTAAAGCTGTTCAGGGAGTCTCTGTGAGTTTTATCCTGTTTGAGACTCCTTGCAGCTGTTCTGACATCTGCCCTCAGCAGGTCCAGGCATGCCTTAGCCTTTCTCATTCTGTGCTGCTTTTATTTGGCTTTCTTAGAAGGTTATCAGTTTTTAGAAAGTCTCTGAACTTCTGAGAATACATTCAAAGATGATTTAAGTCATGGTACAGATTATACAACCTTTAGACATCACCACAATACTCTATGCACACATACATACACTTACACACATACAAGGAGGAGTATTTACTATTAGATTAGAGCTTTCATATCAGATTTGTATCACTAATGTTGTTTTGTAATACAAATTATTCTAAATTCTGAATGGATAAGCCATGTTCAGAATTGTAAAATGTTGATAAATGCTCACCTAAGACTGCACAATTCTGTGTTATTGCAGCATTAATAATTCATTGGCATGCAAATGTGGGTGATCATGTAAATATTTTGGGTTTCGAGTCTTTTTTTTTTTTTTTTTACTGCTGCTGATTTAATATTGTCTTTCTGGACTGGAGCTTATACAGCATGTTTTCTGCCATAAATACGGAACATTCATGTCATTGTATTGCTGCCGGTTTCTAAAAGTGAGAGGACATCATGCTTGTGAATGCCATCTCTCTTTGCTTTATTATACAGTATGTTCCTCAAGGCTGAAAAGCTGACCTCTGTGGTTGTTCAACTATTTTAATTGTTTAAGACCATTGCTAGGAACATTTTATCTGTGGTTTGGATATCTGTATCTAAAGACACATACATATATCACTAGTAAGACAAACCAAGTACTCCACCAAGGCACAGAAATATCAACGGTCAGAGAAAAGTTTCACTTTCCTTCCCTTTCTATCACTTTCATTTTTGTTTTGTTCATTCTTCTTTATTTTTTGGTTCTTTAACTTTGTAGTTTTAGAAGGCATGTATTCCCAGTAGAAAGAATTTGTGAATGTAAAGAACAAAACTTTTAAATATCATTGTAGCTCTTACAGGTTGTCTTCTCTTGTCATGATTAATGAAGTTGGATGATGAAGGCCAGTCATGTGATAAATTAATGGACTGGGCTTTCTAGGCTGTAGGACATGTCTGGCCTGGTTTAGAGGAACATTGGGATGGAGATGGACTGAGGTTGGTTTTTAGCATTCCTGCTGAAGTCCTCGCTGCAGAGATCAACTATAAATGAATAATGTAAATGCAGTATTAAAGAGAAATGTGTGAAGTGTCAGACTGTCTCAAATGTAGAGCTGTTACACAACTCTCTGCAAGGATAAATAATTGCTATTTGTTGTTTTACTACTAGTTTATAAAAAGGAACATTTGTCTTTTGTTCTTCAGGTTGAGCAACAAGTTTCCCCTTAAGCATACCTGTGACCTCACAGTTCCTTTGTTTTCCTACTCCATCTAGTGGTGAGAAAGTGAACTGGTTGAAAGGAAGGTCTTAAAGGAACACTCCACTATTTTTGAAAATAGGCTAATTTTCGCAAAATCGAAAATCGCAACTTTTAATTTTCCGTCGGTCTTAGTACACGATGTAACTATGTAACTATGTAACTACAGAAAAGTCAAGTTTTAAATAGGAAAAATATAGAAACTCTTTGGTCATTTGGTCAATTGAATCAGATTCAATGATCTATGCTAAGCTACAGCTAAAAGTGCTACCGCCAGACCCGGAGATCGGCTGAATGGATTCGAAAATGGTAAAACTCAACTGTTTAACTCTAAGGGAGTTGGAAAATTAGCCTATTTTCAAAAATAGTGGAGTGTTCCTTTAAAGGAATAGTTCACCCAGTCATTTAATCAACCCTTGTATTTTTTCTTCCATGGAACACAAAAGGAAGTTTAAGACACAGTGTTGTGCAAAGGTGACAAAAAAAGTGTCATAAATATAGTCTAAATGACTGAGAAACTTTATTCGAAGCTTTAAGAAAATTATTTTCATATTCATTAGCTTCATATTCATATTCAGTGAAGTCTATGTTTACTACAATCAAGAACCTTAAGAAACAGTACATAATCCATAACTACTTTTTTTCTGCAGTTACACTCTTGGTCTAGCTTTTGTACTACATTAGTTTACTCTTGAAATTCATTCATTTCTGGAGTATTTTAGCCCATGTGTTATCAGATATTTATCTGGATCAGGACTACTAAAGCTCTCCAAATACTGTTTGTTAGTTAGTGAAGCTCTTCACTCTAAAATTAGTCATTATTAAACAGTCTGTCTCTTTAGTAATCAAGTGACATAATAGGATGTGGCATTAAAACACGGGAGAAAACCTAGTTAAGTGAATGAGATAATTGATTTTGCATTCGCCGTTACTGAAACTGAGCTATCTTAGATCAGATATATTGCTATATTATTGCTATATTATTTGCTTACATTTTTCTGTGTGTGTGTACTTTTTAAAACATCCAAGTCCTGTACATTTAAAGCATCCTATACGGTCAGTGCCAATAGCCTTGAGGGCACATCAACATATAGTGCGGTAGCGCTTCGGGTGTCCCAAGTTCAAATCCCGGCTCGTGAACTTTTCCCGATCCCGCCACCTCCCTCTCTCTCTCTCCCACTTTGCTTCCTGTCATTACACTGTCCTATCTAAATAAAGGCAAAATTCCAAAAACAAATCTTAAAAAAAAGAAACATCCTATACTGTATTTGTCTGTCATCTGAATATATATGAAATATTAAAGGCAATTATTTGTGTTTATCTCTCTGCAGGCCCTAAAGAGGAAGTTGTGGGAGCTATTTCTCTTCAGGAGTTCCAAGAAAATGTGTTTGTGGAGGGTAATCGGCCTAAATATGTGTTGGACCTGCACACAGAGGCACAGCAGGGCCTGAAAATGCAGCAGCAAGAGGGTGAGAAGAAGTCAAACTTCAAATCAGTGTCTGTTTAAATTACACACTTTTACTCTGAACCAAACACATGCATTTCCTAAACATACAGCAGTTTATTTGTTTTGATAATGTTTAATAAGGGGTAATGTTTTATGTTCCAGATGATAGGAATGGGATGGACTACCCTGATGACCAAAGTATGATTGTAAGTGTTCCTCCATGCATCAATGAACCCTCAATTCCGGTTATGAATGTATTTACTTCTGTTCCCACCATAATGACTGGCAGCCTGGTTTTTACTTGTGCACATATGTAGTTCTATAAGTGCAATAAAAATGCATTGACTACTTTTAAGTTGCTGATGAAAAAATATATATTTGGAAAGTTAACTATGCTGTTTCCTTTAGTCAACAGTAACAGCTCAGACTGAAGACAGCATGGCCTTCAGTGAGCTGAGAGGCTTTGAGTCTGAGAGCACAGCTGCCGATTCTGTTTCGATGTGCTCCTCCATCTCCTCACGATCAACACGCTCAGGACTCAAACGCCAAGGTGACACTTCATGGATAAACACATTATTAGTCATATCATTTTTAAACATAAAAACATTTTGGCCTGGTAAAGATACATTCTCATAAAGTTATCTAAGAAGTTTTATCACATCACAGCAACATTTTCTGTTTCCTTTCTCCAGCCTCTACATTCAGCCCTCTGAAGCCGGATAAAACTGCAGAGAAGATGAAGTCTCACAGGAAACATGGGAGAACTGTTGTAGGAATTCCTCGACATGTCCAGAAAGAACTGGGTATGTTGTGCTACAGTCTTCTATAGTGTAGAACAAGTATTTGAGTTATTTAGTGGAAAACATATGTTCAATTTATTTTTATATTTCATATCTGAAGGGTTGGACAGGGCAGCATGGATCACCACAAATCCTCTTGATGGTCAGCTGTTCAATGTAGACATGATTATACCTGCCATAATTTCCGCTGTGGATAGCACATCTTCCAGCTCTGAACAAGAAAGTGTACAAGACCATCTACAGGGCGTACAGAACCTGTACACAGTTAAAAAAGACAACACAGAGCTCCCCACACTGACAAAACCCAAAGATGACGTCCTCCAAAGGCTCATAAACCATTCTGTAGATCCAGAAAAGTCAGGAGCAGGCGTTCTAGGTGTTCCTTGGACAGAGAACCCAACCGGTGCAGTGATGTCCATCTCACCTCAGGCCACATACATGTCTAAAATCATTCCAAATGCTGTACTTCCACCATCTGTGGATGTTGTGGAGCTCAGTCGCAGCCGAAGTCGCAGCAGTGTCCGAACCGTCAGCAAAAGCAGCCTGGTGTCAGCCAGTCCAGCATCAACACGTGCTTCCTCCAGAGTCTCTTCACGTTGTTCCACAACCCGCTCAAACTACTCTGGATGGACCCACTCGGGATCATCAGAAACGCTTGTATCCGATTCTTCTACCATCTCCAGCAGTAGCACTCCCCGTGTGGCCAGCAGAGGGAGTCAGGATGGGAACACGAATAGACCAGCCAAGCTGAACAACCACGGTTCCCATGTTAAAACTACTCATGTGAATGGGGGCTCTACCGAGGAGGAGGACAGCGGAAAGACAGGATCTGCTGCTGCTTTCACACGCAACCTATCAGTGATTAAACGGGGCAAGAAACCTCCAGCTCCTCCCAGCAGGTCATACTCTTTACACAACGGAAATCAGACCTGGAAGACATCTGAGAGTCCTACCTACTTGCCTGATGCCAGCACTCCAGATGGATCACCATACCCTGTTGTCATGAAGGCCACCACTCACAAGTTGAGCCCTAAGATAGGCATACCTCCCTCCAATGGACCTACAACTGTCCCAACAAAGGAGAGCCAGCTAGTCAGCACAGACAAGAAAACGATGTTAGCTCAGCTAAAGATACACAGAAGTAACCTTCAAGTGTCTTCCATTGGCGCACCACAATCATACACACATGGCACCGGTAAGCTTGCTGAACTTAAGAACACCCTTCTGTCTGCAAAAAGTTTAATCAATGGCAACAATTCCTCACCAGCTGTAATGGCTCTGTTGTCTCTGTTTGAGATGCCCACCCATCCCAAAGTACTGGCTCCGCCAACTCCTCCTCCTGAGACCTGGGCTCACAACCAGCGGACTTTTGAACTGCTGTGTGGGCCCGGACCTGTAAACTATGCATGCTGGGCCAAAAAGAGAGGTCTTAAAATTGCAGATGAACCAGAAGTGGCTTTGGCAAATGCTGACAGAGTAGCACCTCTGTTGCAGCCAGTAGAGATAAAAGGCAAAGTTGAATCCGTAGCGCCACTTGCCTATGTCGCCCCCTCTCCATCACCTCCCCCAGAGCATTGCCCACAAATACCGAACAACAGCCACGCCAAACCTCCTCCGCCCCCTCCGGACTTTGTTCCCTCAACTCCTACACTAGCTGCCAAAGCAATAAAGGACTTGACTTCTTGGATCCCTCCACCTCCTCTGTTTCCTCCTCCGGCACCTCCAATAGGTACGACTACAGTAACTCCTGTCGCTGTGCAAAACGATAATGACCTCTGTCCACCGCCCCCACCATTTTCGCCACAGTCTTTACTGACAATGCCTCAATTACTGCCAGATATTCCACCACCACCACTGCAGGAAGTTCCACCTCCACCAAGACCACCTTCTGAACCACAGAAAATCTCATCCCGTCCGCAAGAATCCCAACCTTCGACACACAATATGTTAGTAACATCATCTGAAACTTCTCAACAAATCAACGTTCCTCCACCTCCTCCACTACCTACTGATGTAAGATCTCAAGTCATTGTTTCTCCACCTCCTCCACTACCTACTGATGTAAGATCTCAAGTCACTGTTTCTCCTCCTCCTCCTCCACTACCCACTGATGTAAGATCTCAACAAGTCAGTGTTCCTCCACCTCCTCCACTACATACTGATGTAAGATCTCAAGTCACTGTTTCTCCTTCTCCTCCACTACCCACTGATGTAAGATCTCAACAAGTCAGTGTTCCTCCACCTCCTCCACTACATACTGATGTAAGATCTCAAGTCACTGTTTCTCCTTCTCCTCCACTACCCACTGATGTAAGATCTCAACAAGTCAGTGTTCCTCCTCCTCCTCCTCCTCCACTACCTAGTAATGTGAAAATGGAGGACAGACTAGAGATGGCAGAAACGGAGAAACGGACAAGCAGTCCCTCTCCGGCCAAAGAGGAGACCTCCGGTCCTGTGGTCACCCAGTCTCTACTACAGATGGTTCGTCTTAGGTCGGTTAAGTCCAGTCAGAGCCCTGCTGTAGATCCTGATAAACCATCACAACCCAAACCAAAATCAGGTGTCAATCAAGAGGTGCCTCCAAAGCCAATCAGACGATCTTTGATTTTGACATCACTGCCCCCTGATGTGGAAGCTCTTTCCAACACAGAGGCAAAAACTGAAGCTCCGTCCCTCAACACAAACACAACCACTGTATCAAATACTCAGCAAGGATCATCTGAACCAGAAACTCAATCAAATAACATTGCTCAAATAACATTGCCAAAAAGCTCATCAGCTACATGTCCACCTACAGAACCAAGTAAGAATCTAGTTCCTGCTGAACCAGCAAATAAACAACCCTGTGCTGAAACAGAACCCAAACCCCAAACCCTCAAGGAACAAATTCAACCTACAGTGCCTGACCCGGAAACCCTGCCAAGTACAACAGAACCAAAGGACCAATCAATCATTGAGCCAAAGACTCAACATCAGGCACAAGAACCCAACAAGACCCCGCATAATTCAGAGAAGCAATTAAGCACCGTTGAAATACACTCAAAGCCAGATGGTGAGCAGCCAAAAACCCAAACACCAACGCCCATTGTCTCTTCCACACCTCCCATAGTCTCTTCACCAGCGAACCCCTCCATGCGTCTCCAGGAAGCCATTCGTCTAAAGGCTGCTGCAATGTCTTCAAAAGACAACCAAGCCAAGCGGTTTGGTCTACGCTCCCCTCCTCCAGCCACGGCTAATGGCACCACTGTACCAAACTCCCCTGCATCTATGGCCAGCTTCATCTTCTCCAAAAGCCCAAAGAAGGTCGTAATAGAGACACCGTCATCCTTAGAGGTTCAGGCTGACCTGAGGAAAACTCTAGTGGCAGAGTTAGCATCTGTCTCCGATTCAGCCAAGTCTAATGACTCACACAAGATGGCTAACAAAGTTCCTCCACCAATTGCTAAGAAACCCAACGCTAAGGTTGAGAGCGTTGCTCAGAACTCTGCAGAGGCCCAATCTGTAGCCAAGACTGAGCATGTGCAAACAGAGACTGTACAATCTGCTGGACAGGACGTACAGACAGAGAACTCTGAGAAAACGAATGAATGAATATGTACACAAATGATTTAATAACCCTTGAGTTTTTGCTTTATTTTGCAGATAACCCAGGCTTTAAATCCTAGGCCCAAACTGCTTAAGCAATTTTGAAATATAAAATACCAAAAAAAGTCTTTATGTACAGATAGGCATATTGCACTTTTTGTACACTGGTTTAGTGTAACTGATTCTCATTCATCATGGGAATGCATGTCACTGGTATTTGGAAATTATAAATATTCTTATTTTATTTATGTGTCCTCTGTCTTAGACAGAAGCCATGCTACCTTCCAGGTTGTAGAACTCCTCCTTGCTGGTAGCACTGTAAAAACAACGGTAACATAGCAGGACCAATTAATCTCTATGGTGGATTTTTACAGGCATTAATGTATGCCTGAATACGAGAGCAGTGTGAAAGGAAATGAAGGTAAAGCATGTAAGTAAAAAGAATGCAAAGAAGCCAAACAAAAAGGGGAAGAACAATTAGGAGAATGGACCGCTGATTTTGGGGTGGGGTTTGTGACTATTCTGTTTTCTATTTGCAGTGTGTAACTAAGCCTATTTTTTACTTTTAAAACTCCAAGTCAATAAAAGTGATCATACACATTTCCCACCCCAAGTATCCATACAGTATATAGGAATGTGGAGAAGGAATCTGAGCAAGTATAAATTAAACAGAAGGATGGAGCCGATTAATGAAACAAAAGCTGTTTCTCACTATTGTGAGTGTGCAAGTAGGGCCAAGAAGGTGGTGAGAAGTCATGAAACCACATAAACAAGAGGTCTAAGGTGTTAATCTCTGTGTAATCATTACTTTTGGTTTATTTTTTGTATTTTCACAGAGAAGGTAATTAGTTTACATAGTTGATGTACATTACAGTCTGCTACAATCTACAAATAAAAGAAAAATAATGTTTTTAATATATGAAAATTTTCTCATGCACTATGCTGACATTTTTATTATTGTTCCTCTTTTTAAGAAGAATCTCTTTTTAAGAAGAAATGCCTTATTTACATATTGTGTCAAAACTCTTTCTCTACAAATATAAAAAAAAATGATTCATTGTGTTTCATCATGTGATGAAAGTAAAAAGTGTAAAACCCTTACTAAAGTAGCTTCATGGTGACTTTTCTGATCTGGCTATGGTTTTTTCTTTTTTGAAAGTTGTTTTATTAGATGCTGCAATATATAAACATGCATAATTCAAAATAAAGAACACTGACTGCTTTAGTCACATGGATCTTAAGAACTGTTATATCAGGATGGTGGTAGACTAATCTAGACTTAATGTGGTTGTCATAGGCATCATATATTCAGCTAACAGTATGAATGTCAAACAATAATCAAGTCAATCAAGACTTAGATACGACCTTACCATTTACCTGTCAAGGTTTTTTTTTTTTTTTTCAGAAGATAAACAGGGCATAATATATTAATTCATGTACTGAAGGACATAAGAAAAGGGTAAAGTTTTTTTTTTTACAAATTTGGCAGGCATTTTTTATTTGCATTGCAAGGTATACATTATTAGTTTAACCCATGATTGCCATTACTAGAACCATCTACTCTTTGTACCCCACAACACTTTTTAGACCTTAGTCTAAAATATATAAATTAGTTATTGGGTTGCACAGTTCTAATCAATTAAATTGTGCTGTGACTGTGACAGGAAAGAATACAGGAAAGTGTCACCCAGGATAATTCACACTATAAAAAAAAATGTATTATTAATTTATTATTAATAGAAAATACGTGAATTTTTGTGTCAATATATTATTAAAATGCTGGTGAAATTATTTGTAAAAGTAATGACTTGTAAATCATGCAAGGCTCTAACTCACTGTACATTGCTGTTCTTGTTGGTGCTTACACTTGAGAGCACCGTCACTAATTTAAAGGGGTCATATGATGTTGCTAAAAATAACATTATTTTGTGTATTTGGTGTAACGAAGTGTTTATGCGGTTTACGGTTCAAAAAACACATTATTTTCCACATACTGTACATTATTGTTTCTCCTCTATGCCCCGCCTTTCTGAAACGCGTCGATTTTTACAAAGCTCATCGGTCTGAAAAGCAAGG